TGCCGTAGACTACAAACAATCTCACAATTCTTGTCATAGCTTAAATCCAATTATCTTTCACCTCAAATCTTGTTGCACCCTAAAGGCATTTAAGCTACCAGAATCGCCCTAATATTTACCTTTTCATCAGTGAAGTTCTTTTGGGTTCTAGCTTCATGGCTAAATATAGATACCAACGGCGGACATTGGAACATAAAACAGACTATTTCAGAACATGTTTGGAAGATAATGGTAGGAAAAATTAAGTCAAAAAAGGAGACGTAATCTCACAGTCAAGGAAATCAAACTGACTTGCCCGAGTAATACCAAACCTTTATTTCTCTTTTCTCATGCAAAAAAAAAAAAGAGAAAAGAAAAAAAAACCATGAGTCTTAAGCTTGAAAAATAATACTTTCGAAAACCATATACTTCAAAGTAAATACAGATGCACTCATATAAAAACTAACTAGTGAAAAGGTAATGCATCTTAGGCTTTTTCTTTTTCTTTTTCTTTTTCTTTTGTGAAAAGGTAATGCATCTTAGTTATTCCTAAATTGGTATAAACTAATTAGCATTATTTGTTAGTATTATTGTCAATTAAAAAGCGCAAATGCACCAGGATAAGGCGTCAACGGTTGACCACCCTAACTGTATACAACCATGTGAACAGTTGATCCGCCGCTTTTTTTCCCATAACGGCGATCAGATCGCCAGTATGGAGATTTTCCGTGGTCGTTGACATTGAAATTTGATCTTGTCAAACATACATTAATGGATATTTATGTCAAAGAAATTTAAACTTGACCAATGTACGTTAAAGTCTAATTATTCAACAGTATTTGACAATGGCTACATTTTTTTTAATTGACAGTATAATGGCTACATTTAAGTAGCTAGTAATCCTTCCATCCTAATAATTGGCTTGGTATTGTTTTAATAATGAATCTTTTCTACGCTTTAGCGTTAGATGAATGACAAATATACAAATTTTGAATTTGAAATTCAACTTTTGTACACATATCATGAATCTAACGATGATAGTGTATACGCTGTCAATATTTACTCTTGTTTTAATATTTGACCTCAACAATTGTCAGTGCCAAATGCATATTGCATTAGACAATATAGATCATAAAATAGTAATTTTAAAATAATAAATGCAGATATTAAAATTGTAAAAAATAAAAAAATTTATCTCTACACATAGTTTTTAGAGGTTTAAACATTTTCTTGCAACTTTAAGTATTCCTCTTTGACCCTCAAAACAAGGGTAAAAAGATACTAACCTCTCCAAAAAGAAAAAAAACACACACGCGACACACACGCGCTTACACTTGAAGACTAATAAAACTTGCTAATTGCAGCAAATAACCAATACTGTCCAACAAAACACGCTCTATTGATGAACTTAACATAACTTCAATTGACTACCATAGATTTTTTTTCCTTTTTCTGTGTACCCTTTCCTCTAGTAAATTTATTTTAAGTCATCTATTTATTGAACTACTACATAATCAAATTTTCTTCAAATTCCAACTTTACCATTCATTATCAAAATGCTGGAATTTTATCATTAATTGCTCTAACAATTATTAAACCCATCATCCGAGATATACCTAGTTTCACTTAATAGGATACAAACTAATAATAATAACTAGGGAGGGACAGCCCGCGCGACGCGCGGGAATTTGGTGTTTGTAATTCAAGATAATTAATAATTATTGTTAAATATTTTGTAGTATAGGAACTGAAGTATGATGATTTTATCATGTGATTTTAATAGAAAAAACATAAGTTACATAGTGAGTCAATAAAATAATATGCAATGAAACATCCTTATCATTATACTATGTAAGAATCCGTTGTGATCAAAGGTTATGTTTGAATTTCAATCACAAAGATAAGGGTAGTTTGAAAAGGTAAAAATGTTTAAAGTGCAATTGAAAATTATCCAAAAGTCTCTTCTAAAACTTATCCAAGATGATAAAACATTTTAAAGTATCAATTGGACCCCTCATCTCTCGAATCTATATATGTTCGTGAAAGATCCCTTAAGTAATGCTTCTGATTTCTCCCTCAACTTAAGGTCAACCTGAATTATCAAGTCAAGTTTATCCATCAATCACTTTGCGTCCAATCTAATCTAAAATAATTTTATTTTAGACTAACTATTTATATAATTTGGTGGGCATAATACGACTTAATCACATGTTTCTTACAGAGATAATAATGCCCAAAAATGATAGATAGATAAGAAACTTAAGTGGTCTTTTTCAAAGTTTTGTAGAAACTATTCAGATTTGGTGTTTTTTGCTAGGGGCATTTCTTTATAATCTCATAAATAAGTTCAAATCTGCATAATTGTTAAAGATCTGAATTGAAACTATCTTGATTATAAAAAATTGGTGCAAATAATATGTTCTAAATTTGAAATTGTAGAAAATGGTAACTAAAATCAGAAGAAATTCCTCATATGAATTCGAATTGCAAACTATAGGTAGAAACTGCTTAATGATATTTTCTAATGTTTACTTGTATGAGTATTCAATATAGCAACTCTACTTAATTGACTCGTTTGAACTATAGATAATAGTTGCTTCAATCAAATCAAGAAACATTATTTATCATTGTACAACATACAATTATGAGTAAATGAATTCATACAATGCAATCAAAATGGTGCTATAGCTAAAGCATTTAAACTCATCAAGTTCCACTGCAAATTCTTTTAGATAGCATAAAAAGTAAATTTTTTGTATTTGAAACTATATAAACATTAGAATACAAGAACGAGATCATAACAGGGAAAGCAAATAGAGTGCAAATGACATTTTAGTACTATGTAGCATGATTAATTTTTTTTTTTAGTTTCAATGAAGTACAAAATTCTAAGTTAATAAATTTTACAATCATAAAATTCTCAGTTAAAATAAACACAAGATGAATTCCAAATCATATTACATGAAAAAATAACTACTTGAACCATACTATATCCATAATATACAATGCCATAATAATTCTGTTCAACCATCAAAAAATTTGTCAAGCATTAAACTATCAGCAGAATCACCAGGCCTCAACTCCATCCCTTCTTGCTATACTTATTGCAAAGCCGACACCCATATGCCTATTGCCTCAAACCCTCAAGTTTCAATCGCTTTCATCGATTTTTCATACCTTAGTTTCAACAATACTGATTAGCGTTTTCAAGCAATCTGAGACCTTAGAAGAAGATGTCAAGGTTGGGGTTTCTTCATGGTAATTGTCGGATCATACCCTTTTCTTTTTTTTTTTTTTCCACTTGGGAATTTGGATTCCTAGCTACTTGGTAACAACAAGACATCGGGAATTCTGGAAATTCAAACTCCTTTCTTTCGAGAACTGTCAAAATATATCATGCTTCTACATGATTTAGTTTGAATGATATATAGTATGTGACGGTATGTGTAGGTGGTGAATCACGACATATAAGAAAGTCTTTTTTTTTTAGTAAAATAAAGATGCATTAAAACAAAGTCAAAGTCTATAGAGTAATAGTTAAAGTAAAGTCATCCGTGTGTTGATGACACCCTTTTAAGTCTTGCAAAAGTAAGGGAAGGACAAAATCAGGATAGGATTAAAAAAAGGTGGAGTCTTCATTGATGCTTCTTCCCCAATTCGCTAGCATGTCTACACATTTGTTTGCTTTGCGGTAGTTATGGTAAAAACATAACTGCTGGAATGTAGTCAACAGATCCCTGGAGTCAAAAATAATAGGAGAAAGTTCATGAGAAATAAAGTTATTTGACTTAAATAAAGAGATAATACCTTGGCCGAGGAGAAAAAGATGATAAAATTGCTTTTCTGATTATTTTAGAAAGTGACAACATTATCTCAAATCAGAGACAGAATCTCTAGGATCTACTAAGGAAAATAATACAATTAGTCAGTTTTTGGAATTAGAAGTATCAAAAAGCAAACTATATTGAGTTCTTGAATAAACCACTCATCAGAAAAAAAAAACTACATTCGAAGAAGACTAACCCAAAGAACTCACCTCAATTTAAAGGAAAACCTATGCCTTCCACCAAATATTTAATAGCCATAATAAAACCAAAGAGGTGAAACCGAAAAAGAAGAAAGGGTATCGGCTTAACATGGGGGCATAAATATGATAATGATTGTTCAAATAACAATTAAGTTAATTAATTGTAATTAAAATCCAATTATGTAAACATCCAATTAATTCCTTAACGTATGAGAAAGGTTTTCAGGAAATTGGAAGGTTTGGATGTTAGTATAATAAATGATTAAAAGGGCTTTTATGTAATTCTATCAAAACACAAGCTTAATTCAGTTGTACTTGATACTCAACTTGGCACCAAATATTATAACATATCAAACCTGCACCTAACCTTAAATGTCTGAAATGTTATATAAGTAATTATAGTGAAATTAAAGTTGTAATGACTTGTACTCAATGCTCCAATTACACTTCAAACACTCTAACATTCCCAAAATAGCCCCACACTTGCGGTTGAAATCTAAAACCATCTTTGTCCTAAACTCGTTCTTATATAGTATAAAATAATAAAATATAAGGATACACTTGCAAAAACAAATAGAAAGGTTTAAAGGGGAAGGCCATTTACTTCAAGAACATGGATATAAGAAGAAATTTATGGCCGATTGGCCCCAGTGACCACAGTTTCCATATGCATTAATCGTAGCGTGTCAATTTGGAGTAAAATAACTTAGTAAATCCTTGTCGGTGGAATTGAAAACAAGCACAAGCGACCTATGGGATTTGACTTTGAATATATCTTCATTTAATGTTCCCGCCTCAATTTCTCTTATCTCCCCAACAACTCGAACGCGTCGTACAAGCCATGCAACAGAGCATGCATTAATTACGTAGTGAGAGTTGAAAACCCTATTGCCAACTTACTACTTTTGGTAGTATCTTTAAGGAATTAAGCCTCTATATATACCCATGTCTAAAGGCCAGTAGAGCAAAGCAAGTTTGAATTCTTGTAAGCATTATGGGTTCTTCTCAAAAATGGTTTTGCGTGCTTCTTCTTATCTTGAGTGTGGTGTTAGAATTGAGTGTAGTTGCTTTTGGAGATAGCAAGATAGAAAAAGAGAGGTGGGGAGGTAATGATTGTGGATTTGGAAGGAGAGGTTGTTTTGGTGGTGGACGTGGTGGATTTGGAAGACCAGGAGGAAGAGGTCCTGGATTTGGAGGTGGACGTGGAGGTGGTGGAGGTTTTGGTGGAGGAGCTGGAGGAGGTCTTGGTGGTGGAGGTGGAGTAGGTGGAGGTGGCGGTTTTGGTGGTGGAGGAGTTGGGGGTGGTGCAGGTAAAGGTGGAGGGTTTGGAGCAGGAGGTGGTGTTGGTGGAGGTGCAGGAGGTGGTGTAGGTGGAGGAGGAGGGTTTGGAGGAGGTGGAGGTGGTGGTGTTGGAGGAGGTTCAGGTCATGGTGGTGGATTTGGAGCTGCGAGGTGGTGGTGTGGTGGTGGAGGACTTGGTGGTGGTGCTGGTGGAGGAGGAGGAGGGGGTAGTGGTGGAGGCGGTGGCCTTGGAGGTGGTTCAGGTCATGGAGGTGGGTTTGGAGCTGGTGGAGGTGTAGGTGGTGGTGCTGGAGACTTGGTGGAGGTGCTGGAGCAGGAGGTGCAGTAGGGGGTGGCATTGGAGGAGGAGCAGGTGGAGGTGGCGGCGGAGGAGGAGGTGGAGGTGGAGGCGGTGGCGGCATTGGAGGTGGTTCTGGCCACGGTGGTGGATTCGGTGCAGGAGGAGGTGTTGGAGGTGGGGCAAGTGGAGGAGTTGGAGGTGGTGGAGGATTTGGAGGTGGTGGTGGTGGAGGAAGAGGGGGAGGATCAGGCCATGGTGGTGGTTTAGGAGCTGGTGGAGGTGTAGGAGGTGGAGCTGGAGGCGGTGCAGGTGGTGGTTTAGGAGGTGGCCATGGAGGTGGAATTGGTGTTGGGGTTGGAGTAGGCATTGGCGTAGGGGCTGGTGCTGGTGCTGGCAAGGGCATTGGTGTTGGTAGTGGTTCCGGCAGCGGTGGAGAGTGGTGGGACAGTAGAGATGCTGCTGCTTATAAACCCATCCATGCAGATTCAAAGTTTCAAGTGCCTGTGTTTTCAAACTCGGACCGGACCGGCCGGTCCGACCGGTTGAACCGGGAACCGGTGGTGTGTCCGGTCCGAGTTGATCATCAAAACCGGGAAATTCAAAACCGGTCAACTCCGGTCAAAACTCGGGTTTGACCGGGTTTGACCGGTACAGAACCGGAAAAACCGGTCCAACAGGAGCTTTTGCAAAAAAAATTCAAACTTTTTTAATATTATATTTTGACCCCCTAAATTGTGAAAACTTATTAATATACATCAAATATTTCATACTTTATAAATATTGTCCTAAAATTTGATGTTATTTTTCAATTAAATCCATAATTTTAATTCTAATCTTGTTAATGTTTATTAAATAATATAAATTGTTACTTGATTGTTCTAATTTCTTTGTATTTTCTTGTTAAATATATTTGAAACATCAAATATATATGAATATACCTTTATTAATATCAATATATTATTGGATATTTTATATACAATAATTTAATTTTTAAATAATTTTTATTTATGACGTCATCCGGTTCGACCCCTATCGACCCCGGTCGAACCCATTGACCCCTGACCCCTGACCTCGGCCGAGTCGATATCCGGTCCGGTTCTGAAAACATAGGTTTCAACCCACATTCTGCTGTTAAAACCTAAATGACTGCTACTTTTTTGTCCTTTTTTCTTTTCTTTGTTTTCTGCTTAAGCTGCAAAAAGTGTACTATCAATATGTTCTCGTGATTAATTGTAATATCATTACTACAACTAAAGCAATGCAATGCAATGCCATTTTCTTCAGTATCTATACAAGATTTAATTATTCCATGCAGATTGAACTATGAAAGTCCACTGGAAAATGGCAGCACAATCTTGTAATATAAAGAAAAATCTCACACTACTACTCTTTGTTTTCTTTCTAAACTTGAGTAGGAAATGGAAAGAAGAGCCCAGAAAGAGGAATGGAATATGTAACAATAGAACTATGGTTTTGGCGTGGGTAATAAGAGTTCTTAACCATGATTTAAGAAGCAAGTGGAACGTATAGACAATTGATATGTATAATAAGAGTTTCCTTACGAACAATTTCTAGGAAAACGTTATTTGCATTTCTATTTTTGTTAATCATACTTTTATTATTATTTTAATTATATAGTTTTCATATATTAATTTATATGATAAAATAAATAATGAGACTGCAAATAACAAACAATGGAGTACAAATAACATTTTTCAAATTTTTGTAATGCTAAAATTGCATCTAAATGTATTATCAAAGAAATGTTACTTTTGAATGTAACGTATGCTTGGAAGCCTTGGATACTTTTCTTTCTGAATAACACTTTTTAATTTTTAATTACAAACGTTAATACATTTATCATAAATTAAATATTTGAAAATAAAATATCCGTAAAGAGTCGGTACTTTAAATAGATTATGTGTATTTGCCTATAAACTATACTCTTTAAAGTAAGGAGTATAGTTTATTGATTTAAGTTAAGGAGTGTAGTTTATTAATTTAAGTAAGGAATGTAGTTTATTGATTTAAGTAAGGAGTGTAGTTTATAGGCAAATACACATAACCTATTTAAAGTATCCGCTCTTTACAGATATTTTATTTTCAAATATTTAATTTATGATAAATATATTAACGTTTGTATTAAAAAGTGTTACAATAATATTCTCGCAAAAAGAAAATCAGTAGGTTATCTATTTGATATAAATTAAATATTTTTTTTAAAAAGAAATGACCCATAAAGTATTAATTTTTTATGGTTTTCATCCATTACATGAGTAAAGTATTAGCTCTTTATGAGTATTTTATCCTGAATTATTTAATTTATGTTAAATACATAAATATTTATAACTAAAATTGAAAAAGTGTTATATTAATATTTCTATGGAAGAAAAACTGGTAGGTTTTGTATTTAACAAAAATTAAATATTTGAGAGTAAATACAAATCTGTATTTGAGAATAAATATTTGTAATAAAGTAAATGTTTGAAAGTAAAATACTCGTAAAGAGTTGGTACTTTAAATAAGTAATATGTATTTGCCTATAAATTACGCTCCTTAAAGTTTATTAATTATTAATTAATTTGTAATACTTTGTCATTCATTGGACATGTAGCACAAAGGACAAATCAGGTACAAAATTCTAATTTCACTCTCTAAAACAATATTTTAATCATTTGGACTAAATTTATAAAGGATTAGTAACCTCAAGGGAGGTCAGTGTAATTGTTCAAACCACAGGGGAGGTTAGTGCAAATGTCAGAAACCTCAGGGGAGGTTTCTGAAATTATCCCTAAAAAAAATTGATCCTTTAAGAGATGCTAGTGGTTCCCCTGAACTTTGGAACACCTGTTTGGCACGTTGAGACTCATTTTAGCTAGACGATCGGCACAGAAGTTTCTTTTTCTCCATGGGTGTCAAAATAGATATTTAGTTCTTAAGTCGATCGTCAAAGACTGTGGAATAGTTAATTACCTTGAAAAGTTTCAACTAATAGTAATCTTTGGACTATATTACTACATGCCAGTCGTTTTCATCTTAAGAATAGTCCATAGGTTGCTATATTATGTTCCCCTGTGACAGAGGATCTTTGTCATAAGAAGTGGTTCGATGTCACCGTCGTTACAAAAGAGTAAATTTTATTTACTTGTGGGAAGTAAACGGAAATTGTGAATTTTTCATAGTGAATCCCCCAACTTTTATTTAATTAGTGTAGTTATTTTGTGCTCTTAGTAAACCATGATGATAGAAACCATTAATTATTGTATCATGCAATAAGGATTAGGGGTGTATATTGTCATATGCAGTACAAAAATGAATGTAGACGCAATAAAAATTAGTAATGGCAGAAGAGTGCAATGTAGACACCATAAAAATAAGGATTAATTTTATACACACTGTGAGTATATACACTATCACCATTAAATATACGATATATGTGTAAAATTTGTTCCTGTGTCATCCATCCAACCGTAATAGTGCATGCCTTAACAATGTATATAAAAGTTACTCTAAAAATAAATGTAGATATTAAATAATAGATGTAAATATTAATACAAAAATAGGTAAAAGCACAATAGATTTTCTCTCTCATTAAAATTTGAGTCTAAAAATTTGTTGTAATTTTTAATCTTAATATATTAGTGTCTACATTTACCATATTACTGTTTACATTTATTATATTAGTATTTATACTCTATTGTCCTGTAGTCACCCGTTCCTTGATCCATGCAACAATACTTGTCCATGTCAAATACGTCCAAATGGTTGAAGTTTCAAACACTTAATGGGTATAACTAGGTAATGGCAGAGTGTAAAAATAAAATTTTGACTAGCCGAATTGTTTAAACGAGCTAAAGCACTTTTTCTCTAATCAACATCGCTACTTGATCGGGTCTAACAATTTTTAGTTCACTAAAGTTAAAGTTTATTCAGATTTTACTTATTGATGTAGTGACGTTATAAATTTTTAACAGAATAAAGGTAAAAGATTTAGTTAAAAGGAAAAAGGGATTTAGTTCTCTAAGGCGCAATGTAGAAAATGAACAAAACTCGAGAAAATTAAGGGGTGCAGTAGAGAATTGTAAAATTTCAGGCTGTGCTTGGATTAAGTGTTTCTAAAATATTTTACCATAGGCTTTATTAGCTAAAAATAGCTTATATATATATTTTTGGAGTGTTTTTTCAGTTTTTTGAGTAGTTGTTAAGCATTGACACCCTTCCTCTTCCTCGCCATTCCGACCAACCATTGCCTGCCGCCACTTTCTTTCCTTTCCCCTCCTTGACCCTGCTAGAGTTCAAATCACGTTTCCCTTTCTTCCACCAACATCAAGCTAGCAGCAACTCCTCCCCTCCGCACCCTAACTGGCCACCCTGTTTGCTATACCTTGCCACTCATTTCTTCTCCCCTCTCCTTGATCCCAACTGGCACTCCCCTTAGTTACCTTTAGGCACTGTCAACGGACCAGGTTTTGATCACGAACCAACTTGAACTCGCTCAATATTTTTGGATACAGATATAGTTATAATTCTATTTACTCGGACTTGATCCAGACCCGTCTATACTAATCTAAAAATGGATAAGGCATTTTTATCTTATGAAGCCAAAGTTGTCCAATAGTTAGCTAGGCATAAACTTGTGGGAGTCCCAATGGAACGTGACCAAGCCCAGTTTGCATCTCCAGTTTTCTGCAACTCTGCCAACTGTCATGAATCAATTCCATCAGCAACAGTATCAAGTAGAAGACTTGAGTTTAAACTTGTACATTTTCAAAATACTCAAAGCCAAGATTTAATATGTTTACTTTGTTTGGAGATGAAAATGTTGAAATATTATGATTTTCTTAGAGAAGCATAAGAATTCCAAGCGAAGTCTGTGTGCTGTCACTTAAATTTTCACAATGTGTTACTTGTAAGAAGATTAATCCAATCATAAGCTGCATTTACAAAAGAGGTAGATCTTTATAACATTTCTCATTATTCAAGTGTTTTTATGTTGCATGTTGGAAGTTTCAGTCTTACCGTCACCAGTGTATGGCTGTTGTAATAGTTAGCAGATGATAATTAGATGCACTAGGTACGATACGAAACTTAGAGTAGGCAATGAATTAGATTGCTTACTCTGCCATCTCTTAGCTCAAATATTGAAAAGTAAACAGTCTCATGATCTCATAAGATTCGAAAATTGCAGATGCAACTGTAGTCCAAATAGATTACCAACTTTAATGAACGAGTTACTGCAAAACTATGAACTAAAGGAAACACTTGAGGTTTTTTTTTTCATTTTTCAATATCTTATTGGAATTTTCTGCCGACTATTGTCAAAATAAGAGATGTAGGAGATTTCGCAGCCATGCTTCAAGTTGATGATGCTGGATGATTACTTTTTCAAAAGTAATTGACAAATGATTCTATATC